CTCCTTTTTGTCTCTAACCCCTGCCCAAACAAACCCCAAACCCCTCTCAATACCCCTGCCTCCAAACTCTTCCAAAACCATGCCCCTCATCCCTCCACAAACTGCCCTAACCATCCCTACGCCTACCCCTACACCCCCACTTGAAAAACCATCTAAAACCATGCATTTACCCCTCCTAACCACTGCCCATCACACCCCCAACTTGGGTCCAACATCCCCACCCCAATCTGTTCCCAAAGTCATGTCTTTAAGCCTACCACAAACCCCCAAAAGTACCCTTGAAGAGTCATCTTTCTTCATGGTTCAAACCCCAACCTTTGCTCCCCATTTTTTTAAGTCCGAACTACCTTCTTCTCAAGCTACCGAAACCATGCAGCCCACTACCCCAAAGATCATTTGGGATGAATACGATGACGAGTACTATAATCCCATTTGGGATGAAGAACTTGTCGAAGAGAATGAAGAAGTGTTTGAAGACGTAGAGGATAACCCGTTTTGGGTTACAGAGATGAAAGAAGAGCAAGAAAAGAAGACCCATGAAGAAGTTGTCACTACTCACGCGGAAATCTCCGCTCGAGACCTATCTTCATTAACGGTACCTTGTACCAAACGTGTTGAGTTTTTGCACGTCCCGTATGAAGAGAAGATTGAGAAGAGTCGTGACTCGAAATGGTCCATTCAGCCCGGCGACCTAGTATGGGTTCACGTTCATAAGGCGCGTTTGTTTAATAAACGCAAGTCAAAGCTACAACCCCGAGACGATGGCCCATTTGAAGTGTTGGCAAAGGTTCAAAAAAACTCCTACGTGGCCGATCTTACACGAGGCCTAAAAATCACTGCCACGTTCCACCAAAGAGATCTTAGCCCGTACGAGGATTTTAAAGATAATCCAAGTTTGAGGACAAACTCTTTTGAAAACCGGGAGAGTGATATATCTGGGCTCAGCCTCATCATGGTTCGCCCTATACCCTACACTCCCGGGGGAAGCCGAGGACCTATGTTTAAGCTATATGATCCATTTTGAAGGCCCTTAAACCCATGATCCTCCTCAATCCCTACAATCCAGAAACAACACCAAACCTTAACCATTCTCCCCCTTCTCCTTTTCATCTTGGCCGAACCCATCTTCCCCAAAACCCTACCTCATTCACCCCTCAAGACCATGTTAAAACACACCCAA